GACGCTTTGAGCGGGAAAACACTTGACATGCTCTGCAGAAGTCAGGGCGTGCACGAACCGTCGAACCGTCTTGCGGTGCACTCATTGCAGGCATTCGACCCCGAAAATCCGAAACACTCCTACCATATGCATAAAACCCTAACCCCCCCCCCCCCCCCCCAACCCATCAAAAAAATGAAAGAGCACACAGACCCCTGAAGGTATGCTTCTAGAACCACCCGAGGAATCCGAGCCCAAAAGCCTCGGTAGTCGGCTTTTGGGGAGCTCTTCGCAAACACAAGCGACAAAGGCGATGCGTTGAGTCTTCGATCTGAGGGTTGCGTTTTGATTTTGGAGGCCCCTACCCTATAATGGGCTATATAATGGGTATATAATACCTATATTAAGGGTATATAATGGGTATATACTGGGTTATAATGGGCCATATAATGGGTATATAATAGCAATATTAAGGGTATATACCTAGGGGTGTGAGCCTCCTTCGGATCACGGGGCTTTAGGGTTTAGGAACCCAAGAGTGGGGTTTCTGCCCTCTTCTCACTTTGGGTGTTTGCTGATTTCTCTAAGTTGGGGTGAAATCCGACCGGATTTCCGCAACCTGGTGGGGTTTCGGGGAGCTTGACGTGTTAGGGTCAGAGTTCGGTGCTTTGAGACCTAGGAGTTGCTTGCAGATCTGAGTCGAGAGCTTTCAGTCAGCTTCGGAGTACGTGCTTGTGGCATAGTCTTGGAATTGCTTGAAGAGCTGCCTGAGATTCTGAGATAGCGGCCCTAATGCATCTTCTGCTGGCTTGTGTTCGGAGCTTCACTATGGAATCTTGGGCTTGAGCCCTAAGCATCCACGGGGCAGAACTCTCAATTCCCTGACTGGCTCTGCTGACCCAAGCTTTGGAGCTGTCTCAACATCTTCACGACCCTTCAACGTAATCCTGACTCCAGAGAGTCCAGAAGACATGAAAACCATCTCCGCGAATCTGAAACCGAGCAGTGTCACGGAGTCTCAGCTCTGGTCTGGTTACAAGCACTGCAATACAGCATGTGAGTGGTTGTCAAAATGATGGCCGCTTTTTGGGTACCCTAAATAATAGGTGCCGGATTGTAATAGGGACCCAAAAAGGGACCCTAATTTTGTGGGCAAGGACATGGCGATGAAGGATTGTAGAACACTATCGCGCCTCTTTTGCACTGACAGGCCAACGGACGCAAGAGGATCAGCACAAAAAAGTGCTGTGGTAGTCAAGGCCATGTACGTCCTGCCATTCTAGGCATGAAGAAACGAGCTTTACACAGACTGGTGTCTCGTCGTCCTGAGATTGTGAGTCCTCTTCAGCCATGCTACTAGTACACAGACATGTACCACCGCCGACCCCAACAACTTTACACGTGCCTTAGCAGTGAATGCTTTCAGTGCAGCTGGTGATGGTCAAGACTGCGTCGGACAACAAGGCGCAACTGGAACCTGAAGCAAAGGGAGATAACGAGAAGTCACAAAGCGTGAGCCAACGCAGGAGGCTAAGCATGCTTGCTTAATTGACGCAGGCAGTGCACTCCCAGATGAAAATCAAAACATTCCGTGAAGCAATGAAGCTTACACACACACACACACACACACACACACACACATACCACGGCAGTTGAGAACGGCTCCTGGCCGTGACATGGATTTTGCCGTTTATAACCACCGATACCAGCAGGCCATCACCGGGGACTTGGAGCACAAAGTTCAAGTTTGCGCTGGGACATGAGCATAGGCCATGGAGTGCCTTTCGACACACAAGATCGGATCGCGGCAGGGGTGAAGGTAGAAGGATCAACACTGGTGCTGCTGCGGGGTGGAGAACCAGTGCCTGCTCCTGACTCTGCAAAGGACGTTTAGCACGGAAGCGAGACAAACAGCAATGCCGGACCGAGGAAATCTTATGGGTCGGCCGTGACCCAAGTTGGCCCAGTGGGAAGACAAAGTGAATCAGGAGAGAGCAGGATAATAATGCGTAGGGCAGAACGAACACAGTATATAGCGTGAACTTATTTAGTCTTGATGTTCGTATTTGTCTTAGTTTTGGTCTTAGTATGAGAATTACTACGAGATCACAGGACAGGCTTCCCGGAATTCGGCCCCCAAAAGGAGAAGGCAGGAAGAGAAAACTAGCACCAGAAGACAAAACCACCCTGGAGTCGGCCCAGCCCATCTGAGCCGTCACATATCTTCATCAGTTGTGGAGGCTTCTTCTGACTATCTTCCTTCTTGATTCATGCCCTAAACCCTTTGTTTAAGCACGGACTTGGAGTGTACGCGCTAAGCCCTAAACCTCCCTTCATTCCTTCAGTCAGGCTCCCCACATTGCCTTTCGAATCCGACACCCCCGGACTGTCTCAACCCGGAACTGACGAGGCACCAGAGCCCCAAAGCTCTTCCAGACAATAGCCCGTGCCAAGTGGCAGAACAGGGCACTCCGAGAACCCAATACCCCTTAACTAACGAATAGACCTTAAATAATAAGGGGCTTAATGCTATGTGTTAAGGTCTATTCCTTAATTAAGGGGTATTGGGATCTCTGGGCATAAGCTTTGGTCCAACAGGAATTACTCTTTTGTTAAGGCTCTTCGGGATGCTGCTTCGTGTTCAGAAGGGCCTTAGTAACTAGAATAGGGCTTTTGGGTAAGCCCCTGTCCCAGCATCCTTGTGCCGAGGAATCTTACTCATGCTTCGTGTCACGCTGCAAAATCACCGAACATTCATACAAGTACCTTCCTACAAGGCAGCTCAACCCCACATGAATAGAGGCAGGGCCTGGAAGAGCCTGAGGGTAAACCGGGTCCTTGTTCAGCATCACAACAAGGAACACATAGATTTCATAGGACATGTCACTGCCATGACTCTTTCAGGCGAAGCTCACTATCAAGGACCCAGTATATCTACTACCTGTTCGGTACAAGCAACGGCATGGGTAGTTGTCAAAATTATGGTCCCTTTTTGGGTCCTTAATATAATACGGCACCTCATATTTAGGGTACCCAAAAAGGGGGTCCATTATTTTGACAGCCACCCACATGACGACTGTAACTCGACGCGGCGGCTAAGCGAGAGGCCAGGGGCTCTTCTTGGGACTTGGGAGTCTCGGGCTCGGGATCCCCAAGCCGCTCACGGCCACCCTCTTTGCAGACTTGAGGCTTATAGGGTTTGGGGATTTAGGGATTTAGGGATTTAGGGTTTAGGGTTTAGCGGTTTAGGGTTTAGCGGTTTAGGGTTTAGGGATTAGGGATTTAGGGTTGAGGGTTTTGAATACAAGGCAGAAGCGGTGAAATTCAGCTGCTATGGGCCCCTGGGCCTCTCCGGTCGAGGTGAAAAGGTGAGAATCTGCCTCGCCACTGCTGGGAGGGAGTATTATTACTATGATTATTATAATTTCGATTATTACTATTATTATAATTACTATTATTATTACTATTCTTATTACTATTGTTATTATAATAGTTATCATTACTATTATTATAAATACTATTATCATTATTATTATTACCATTGTTATTATAATTTTTTTTTTACTTTGATTATAATTACTATTAATATTATTACCATTATTATTATAATGCCTCTGCATCCCATGTCCCAGGCCTAAGGAACAGAAGCTGGAGGACCCTGCATCCAAAACTAAGCCCTAAGCCCTAAACCCTAAGCCCTAAACCTTAAGCCCTAAATCCTCAGCCCTAAGCCCTAAGCCCTAAACCCTAAGCCCTAAGCCCTAAACCCTAAGCCCTATAAGCAAGAGGTTCATTCGGACGAGACAGGTTCATTCGGACCGCTTCTCGAAACTTCAGGCGGCAAATTACCATAGCTAGCAATGCTGAAGCTGGCGTCAGAAGCAGCAGGCTTCATAAAGCTCTCCCGTGCCTTTGGGCCTGAGCCGACTCAAGAGAATCTTTACATCGCGACGGCAAAGGATCAACAAGATACCGAGCATTGCTAGGGCAAGTCCTATCCACCGCCGTGGAAGGCCGCTCGATGCATCTTTAATCTAGACATGACGCATGCCCTTCCTGAACCCCAAAGACCCAAAGACTGCTTCCTGAATCTCCCACGACACTCTTCACCCCAGGCGATCTACCGGATCTACCACACCACGGCCGACGGATACTGGATCAAGGTCGAAACAGATCCATCTCCGCGACTCCGAAAGCTTCGCGTCTCCGTGCCGCGTACCCGTGCTGCCATCGAGTGACAGGGTTGCGAGCGCCTGCTGGTCGATCAGGGCACGGCACCTTCGGAAGCTGCTGCCACAAAGCATTGGGATACCCAACCAGATGCCCATGCTCATCGACGGCGGCATCAGCAGCACCATCGGCATCTGCAACAGCATCAGCACTGTCAGCCAGCAGCGGCGGAGGCGGCAATCGCACCCTCGCAGATCTCATCACCCTCGACATCATAGCTGCCATCATCATCATCATCTCATCAGAACCATCGTGATAGTCATCGTCATCTTTGTCTGTGCTGGCGGTAGAGCTGATATGGTCGTTTCGTTTATGCTGGTGCTGGTGACCGCTGCCACGGCCTCCCACGCCCCGAGCTACCGGTTGACCCAACGATCCACTCGAACACCGAAATCCCCAAGATCTGCAGGCAGTGCTTCTCCTGTTGCTCTAGAACTCTAGGCGATCGGCCACCCGCTGGGCCTGAGATTAGGCACTTCACGAACAGCCGAATGCGAAGTTTCCCCCCACCCCTGAGATTTCGCCAGACATTCCCCAGATCCCCGAAGTAAGAACCTGGGAGTCTCCACCCCGGGCCCCTACATTGAACTGGCCCGGTGGATTGATAGTTTGTGCACACTGCCTTCAGGAAGCCTGGCTTCAAGGTTTCGGGATGTTCTGGGGGTCTAGGGTTTAGGATTTTTAAACTTTCTAGGGTTTAGGGCTTAGGGTTTGGGGTTTAGGGTTAGGGTCTTCTTGACACCGAACACCGTAAAGGTACCAGGAACATCCGAAACTGTCTGCGGCCTCTCTCACTGGTGCACCGTCGGCAGCTGCTGATGCTGTGGCTGCTGCCCCGTTTGCGGATTCTGCACTTGCTGCGCCTGTTGCGCCTGCTGTTGCAGCGAATCCTCCCAGGACATGCAGAGTACGAAATGACAGAGACATAAGAGGAAGACAAAGATTGGCTAAAGCATCCAAGCATGTAGTTCCAACTGGATTGACTTTCGCTACTTTCTTGCTCCCGCCAAATGTCTCAGGTGGACTTAGGCTGCTTTGGACACCTGTGTTGATGAGCGGAAACCTCCATGCTGCTATACATTTCCGCTTGCTCACCATTCCGTGTTGAACTATGCACCTGCGCAAGACTGTGCAACTTTGCGCAAAAGCCAAGTACACAATATGTTCGGAACTTCTCTTCAAGTGGTTGAAGACATTGCCTTCAATGCTCACTGACCGGGCACTCTTCAAATCCACAAGCCCGAGAAGCCGGAGCCTCCAGGCTCCACATGACAAAGATCTGAAGGCTGCAGACCCAAACCCGAAGAGGCTAACCCCTCGAACTCCGGAAAAAGTCACTTCGAATAGAATGGCTCCTACTTTCAACTAAGAAAGCAAGCACCCCTTTTTTGCAGGCCTGCGGTGCCATTAGATAGGCTGTCGGAAAGCAGCCGGGTTGGCCTTCACCAGGCAGTGACTCGGCAAATCTTACGGCGAAGCTCTTACAGCTCAGGGTTGCTTACGTAAGGTAACTACAGTTATAATGACTTATAACCCCAATTAAGGTACTTGTAGCCCTACTTACTAAGTCCCATGATCCTCCAAGTAAGGTTGAGGGATTTTTTGAGGATTCGCGTTTAGGGCACTGGGTTTATGCCTAGGGATCTGACAGCACAGGCCTCGGATGATGAGCTTAGGGTAAAGAAGATATGGGAGTTTCCGAAAATTAGGGTGGGTACCTTATTTTGGGGGTCCTTATCGTAAGGATCCTACTATTCGGGATACTATATGAGGGTCCAATATTTTCGGAAAATCCCATATAAACTGATATAAACACAAGAAACTTCTTGACTGAGCAAGCTGGCAGCTGGGTGGTTGTCAAAATTAGGGGAAACCCTAAATAGAAGGTGCCGTGTATAACAGGGACCCAACAAGGGACCGTAATTTTGACAAGCACCCAGCTAAGAACAACTCCGAGTGGCGGGGGGGATCCCTGAAACGAACTCGAAGGCAATGCCCCGCCGGCAGCGTTCAAGCTAAAGTAACTTGGAGAGAAGAAACGGTGGTGCCCTGAGCAAACCCGTATCCCCGCAGGCATGCTGCCAACTCCTTCTCGCACTCAAATCCAGATGGGAGTTTAGGACCCCAGATAAGGTACCCCTGTTTTCGGAAACCCCCAGATAGAATCCAGGACCCAAAGGCTCGAAACCGACAAGATCAAACCCCCTGAAGGTCGAGCCTGATCCAGGAGAAATCAGCGCCATTGGCATTCCTAGAACGCTTCCTTGGCAGAATGACAAGTGGGCTTGGCAGGGGCGCAGGAATTTCAACACTGACCGCACTTCTGAGTCTTCTGAGGCTAGGGCCGTTCTGCTGCATTGGTAGCAAGCCTACTAATGTTTGCATGGGCGCATTGGCAGAGCCACCTCCGCCATTGCAAACTCCACAACCACTACAACAGGCAGATGGATTTTGGGGGCAGCCAGCCAAACAGGCACAGCCGCCTCCACAGTTGCCACCACCGCAGCCACTGTTGTTGCCACAACCCCCGCTGCCACAGCCGCCAGCAGGGACACAGCCACCACCGCCACAACAACCGCTGCAGCCACCGCTCGCACAGCCAGCGCAGCCCATGCTGCCGCATCCTGGACAACCACCCGCTCCACAGTTGCCGACACCACAGCCGCCACAAGCGCCCATGCCACAGCCATCTGCGCCGCAACCGCCAGAAGATCCTCCTGCGGCACAACCAGCCGCCCCACCGCCCGCGGCACACCCAGCACAGCCGGCAACGGCACAACTTCCGGCCGCACAGCCGCCCGCACCACACGCGCCCGCACCACAACCACCTGCACCACAACCACACGAACCACAACCACCCGCAGCGCATCCACATGCTCCGCAAGCTCCACAAGCTCCGGCACCGCAACCGCTGCAGCCACTGGCAAAGCTGTTGCCGCAAGCCATGCTGGTGCAACCGCCACATTCACTGGCTCTTGAACCTCCACCATCTTGAGATCCAGAGCAGCCGCACCCAGAGCCGCAAAGTCCGCATCCACCACAGCCGCCACAACAACCACTGCATGCGCTCTGGAAGTTGCAGCCGCCACATGGCATGTTCATGCAACCACTTCCACCGCAACTTCTCAAGTTGCCGTCCATGCCACTGCCACTACAACCCATGGAAGCACTGCAGGTTCCACCACAAGAACCGGTTGGCGACCCGCAACATCCACAGGCTCCGGGCTGGCAACCTTGGCAGCCTTGGCAACCTCCGGCAGGGCAGCCTGTAGGGCAGCCTGTGCAGCCGCAGCTGAGGCAGCCCATGCACCCGCAGGCGCCACAGCCAGCGTTGCAGCAGCCACTGGGACAGCCACAGCCTTGGCAGGCGTTGCAGCCACCACAGCAGCCACCATCGCAGCCACACCCACTGCAACCACAGCAACCACCACCAGCTTTGACCATGCAAGCTTGGCCAGGGTTGCAACCACTGCAGCCGCTGCACCCACAGGAACCTCCACAGGAGCCACCGCAGGAGCCACGACCGCAACAGCCACCACAAGCAGCTGCGCTTGGTGCGTTTCCGTTCTGATTGCCCTGGGAGCCCTGGCTTTCACCTTGTCCTTGCCTTTGAGCGCTCAGAGATCCGCAGGATCCGTCGGCCTGGTTCGTGCAGCAGCCACCACAGCAGCCGCAGCCACCACATGGCAAAGCACTTGGGCAGCAGGCGCAGCCTCCACAGGGACCGCATCCTCCACAAAGGCAGCCGCAGCCGGAGGGGCAGCAACCACACTGACAGCCACCACAGCCACAAGGCATGCAGGCACAACCACCACATGCACCAGCCGGTGGTGGAGCATAGCACCCACAGCCACCAGCAGTATTGGCACCTGTTGCAGAATATGGAGTCTCCGCAGTGTTGGACTGCGCAGACAGATCTCGCCGATCTCTGCGATCCCGCTGGTGCTGTTGCTGCTGCTGCTGCTGCTGCTGCTGTTGCTGCTGTTGCTGCTGGAGCTGTTGCTGCTGCTGCTGTTGCTGGAGCTGTTGCTGCTGTTGCTGCTGTTGCTGCTGTTGCTGCTGAAGCTGTTGCTGCTGCTGTTGTTGCTGTTGTTGCTGCTGTTGCTGTTGCTGCTGCTGCTGTTGCTGCGCCCGCGACTGGGGTGGAGGCGGTGGCGGCTGCTGTTGCTGATGGTCTCTGCCCCTCTCCTGCGCATGCTTTCCTTTCCGCTTCTCACGTTTACCTGCACAGCAGACTTGTCATGGCTGGGATGCAAGCCCGGCAATAATAGTAAATAGTAAGTACTGTACATCTAGGATCATTCCAAAACAGTCAGCCTGTGCCAGAAGGATGATAGCAAGGCTAAAGGAACGACAGCGATAAAGTCGTGGAGAGCTGTGTGCCACTAAGAAATCTGGGAAGAGGCACCCAGAAGCGACCCGAGCCTTCCCGGAGGCTTTTACAGCAGATCTACTTTAAACCATCCATCCACTGTGGCCAGGGCGGGGGCGGCCGAGAGGTTTGTAAGTTTTGGGGGCCACGATAATTAGAGTATCCAGGGCTTTGAACAGGACGTCAAGGACACAATCATACCGGGACGAAAGCAGGACAGTATTGCTGGTGATTCCGACTCCTATACACTGCAGAGCTGTGCTGCCAGACCCGACCTAGAAGCATGAAACTGCGAAGGTGCCTTCCTTTCTCTGCCCTCCACCTCAGGCACATGTCGGAATGCCCAACTGTGTGCTTCACCGCAGAGCCCCAAACTGTCTCATGAGTGCTGATTCTGGAGGCTGCGAGAGATTTCTTAATATGGGGGTTTCCGAAAAGAGGTGACCCGAATATAGCACCCTAACTGGTAGGATCTTTTTCATAAGGACCCCACAATAAGGTACCCCAAATTTTCGGAAACTCCCATATAAATCATAGCAAAGCAGGGACCCGGCCGGGTTGGTCGTTCTCAGAAGCTGGCGGGTAGCCTGGGTCGGAAGGTGCCGGCATGTGCCGGCCCTAGGGGTTCAGCGGCTTAAGGGTTTCGGGTGTAGGGGTTTGGGTTTTGGTGTTCAGGGATTAACGGTTCAGGGGTTTACCTGACCTCCTTTTGTGTTCGCTTTGTGTGTGCTGCTAGACAAGTGCAGTCGTGTCAGAGAGAAAACTTTGTTAGAACGTGTCATGGGGCCAAAACCCCTGCCTACGCTACAATCTACCAAATTCTTGGCAAAATCATGTCATGATAAAGTGCTGTTTGGTCTTGTTACTGCCGACTGTGTCTCTTCTCAGGTAGAGCGGACAGTTGCGTGCGCGGGCATGCAGGTTGTGCGAGATACACCAGTTGGTCTTCTATCCTTGTGTGGATATGTCTTCTCTGTATGTTCTTTCTTTTTGTATATAAGAACTCTAGTCAGGCTACACCTGGGGCTGTAAGACTGTAAGGCTTCATGAATAGCTTCAGTGTGTAATTGGTCCTCGAAGAATCGCAGATGTCCCGGAGGGTTTTTGTACAAGCAAACACATGCACTACGGTGGATGGAGGAAATCTTGCACCACCTACATATTCTGATTCGGGTACGCCCCGAAGCCACGACCCCGCACCCCGTTTAGATCATCGGAACGATTTTGCAAAGCCGTGCTCATTGCAATATTAAGAAGGGGGTGGGGCGAAGCTAGTTGACGCATCTTAAAACAGGTGCAAGATTTCCTCCATCCACAGTAGTACCTTACTCCACTTGCCATACCTTCCCTTCTACCATACCACGCCATGCCAAACTCATGCCATACCATACTTTTTGAAATACCATACCGCACCATACCATGCCGCACCACGCCATACCATACGTGCGTACAAAAGTGCCGGTGTGTGTATGTATATGTCTGTATATGTATGTATAGAGAGAGAGAGAGAGAGAGAGAGAGAGAGAGAGAGAGAGAGAGAGAGAGATTGAGATTCGTAGAAAGATGTATGCATGTGTGTGTGTGTATATATATATATACATGTATGTGTACTATACACATATACTGAACCGTGCTTGCTCCCCAACTTCTCTACCCCGGGGTTTAGGGTAATGAGCTTGAGTCAACTCCCAGAACTCCCCGGAACCCAAGGTTTCTGCTGAGAGCACCGCCGTCGCCGTGCCCTGGCTCTAAATGGGAGTTTCCCAAAACAGGGGACCCTAATATGGTACCCTAAATAGTAGGATCCTGATTATGAGGACCCCAAAATAAGGTACCCCTACTTTTCGGAAACTCCCACATGGCTTCGGTCTTCCTCAGGGCTCTGAAACGACTCTGCTGATCGGACTCTGCGTGAACAAAATCTGATGCGATTTTGGGTTCGGGGGTTTTAGGGTTCACGGTTCGGGATTTGGGGTTTAGGGCCTCGGGTACGCTGCCTTTCAAAAAAGCGATGAATTTTCTAGGTGGCCTCTCCTCGAGGGTGTCTAAGGGCTCTCTCGGGTGGTTATGGGAAAAATACAGGGGTTCTCAAAGATCGGGACCCACCTGCACTCCGTGTGTCCTTCCCTGGAAATTCTCGTGGGTTCATGGCACTGGTGCTGCACCGGTTTGACTGAAACGGCCCCAGCAAATACGTGTATGATGTAGCGTACAGTGCGCGGCAATGCTCTAAACAGCCCCGGAGCATTCGTAACAGTAGAGCGAAACATAGGGTATCGGTCAGGTATGCAACACCTCCTTACTCGGAACGGCCGTCGTTCCATCGGACGACTCTCAAAACCCGACACCTAGATCTACATACCCTCCCAAACCAGAAGTTGTGTACGGTCATGCCCCGCATGCTTCGCCATGGCCTGTGGCCGCAGTTGGTAGAGACCTCTCAGCCAAGCAGTTTGCGAATTCTTCAGGGGTATCGACCCCGAGTTTATCAAGATCTGCAGAATCACTGTTCTCAAAACCGCAAGCCTCACGAAACCCTCAAGCTTGAAACCTCCCAAAGCGTGATCTGCACACCGGCACATGTCGCCGTGCTTCATAGTATCATATAGTGTTATGTAAGAGAGCATAATATGATGCAATACAGGTCAAACAGTTCATCACAACGTCGCAGAACATAACGTAACACAACGTAATGTAACATAACACAACATAACATAACGACATGTAACATAGCATAACAACCAATAACATAACACAACATGGCGTGACACAACATCATATCATAACACTAATATCGATGATGACGATGGTGGCGATGATGACGATGACGATGATGATGGTGATGAGGGTTATGACCATCATCATCAAGGCAACAATCGTAATATAGTTGTCACTATATTAAATACAGATGTCAACAAGAATCACGGTAGTCACGGTCAATAAGTAATAATAATTGTAAAAAGATACAATATAATCCTTCGCGCCTTCCATCTTTCAAACCCCGCCCCCCCGCCCCTGACCCCATGCCCTGCCAGGGTTCCGGCCCTGGTTGTTGCGGTTGCTGCGGTGGCTGCGGTGGGCCCGGCACTGGTTCCAAAGCCTGTTTGCCAGTGTCAAACCCCAGCTACTTGGGGGACTTAGGGTTTGGGGCTTGAGGGTTTAGGGGTTTATGGATTTAAGACTTAGGTTTAGGCAAGTACTTACCGAAATGGCCCTGCACGAACCTGAAGCAAGACATGAGGAAGCCACGAACTCTCGAGATCCGGAAGTTCGAGACTTGGTCAAAGGGCCATGCCTGCTGTGCCGGGACGGGCATGGCCACAGCACCTGACGACCATGGCCCCGTGGCTTTTCTCCAACACCCTTTTGCCTGAGAACCTGTTCAGTGTAATGGAAGGGCCTTAATCTTTGCAACAGGGGCTTGGAGTAGCCCATAGTGTAGTCTTAAATGCGACTATAATAACTATGCCGACCCTGTACTGTCAACCCTTGCCGAAATACGGTGCTTGTTTCAGGAAGTTCTTGTCCACGGACCCTCTGCTGCACCCTGCACGGGGTTACCGTCCAAGGCCATACAACGACAGCTGGTAGACGGCTGTTTCCCTGAACCCTAGTGACCGAACACTGCTGAACCCTAAGACCCTAAACCCCTCTGCACCTTAAACCTACAGCCGCAGAGCCATGAAGACTGGCGAGATGTGCTCGGTGCAGCCCTACAGAAGCCTGTGTTTAAGCTTCTTCAAAGCACATTGGAACGCGCGGCGCACATCCCAACATATCTCAACCATCCTAACCTCCTAGTATCTGGGATATAGGGTTTCAGAGTTTAAGGCTAGGGACGATTAGGACTTGTGGTGGACTACGCGTTTGGGCTAGGGTTTCTGGAACCTTTTGGACCGTGTCCCAAAGCCCAAGCCCA